TAACTCCTGCACCCCCAGGGAGGCCCTTTGTCATTTCTAATTCTATCCTGAGGTCTATCGCCTAATTTCTAATTCATATTTTCTATTTTTACATGTCTTTCACCTTGTCTTGAAAGAGAAGGTAACCAGTTTTCATCACTTGTGTTGGCATGTCTTCTGTCCTGGCCATCCCCTTCCCCCTCCTGGATGTTATTCTGGCCCTTTTTTTAACCCTTATAAAAAATTTGGGATTTTTACCTTGATACTTTAATTTTGCTTAGTTTATGTGTGAAATTTGTTTTCTTCTATAATGTTTTTTAAAGTCATCTATTTTTTTAAAAAAATCACTGACTTATTTCCAAGAGTTCAAATATTTGAAAAGAGAAGAGCAGGAAAGGGTTTTTATGTGAGGCCTTGGAAAGATGAATTGGCCTTGTTTACACTGTATCTGTTATTTGTTTGATGCTCATATTGTCATCACCCTGTTCAGTGGGTCTCCCTGTCTGCTACTACATGGTTTCGCAATAACTGATTAATTTTGAAAAACCTTTCTCACTGATTCCTTTTATAACAAGTGCTGTTTTCTCTCTAGCTGTCCAGCACTTGTCCTTTTCTACCAGAAACCCATTTTTCTACTACAAGGAATACATTAATGTCCAGCAGTTGTCCCTAAGCTGTGTCTCCTGTCCGACCCTGATTTTACAGGTTATCTAAGTAGTAATTCTTGGTGAGCCTAAAGTGTATTCATTTAAAAAATCTTGAATTCATAATATAACAGTTTACTATTTACCAACTTTTGTGCTATTTCTTAGGATTAATCATCCCCATCATAAAGCCTGTTGTAAATTAAATTTCTTAATTTCTCTCACGTAAGATTCAACTCCAGCCTGTTCCCCCATTTGGTCAAAATGTGATGAGACCATAAAATCACAAGATTTCAGAGACCTCTTGGAGCAGTGATTGCAGCTTTTCGTGCTTTTAGCTTTTTGTCATCCCCTTCCAATGATGATGAAAACAATTCCTACTTTTTTTGCAACCATAGGAAGTTTTTCTGTGTTCAGGTATTACATTTATCATTAGGGTAAATTTGAAAGTGTAATTTTGAAAATTAAAAAGTGTAGTTTTAGATGTAATTTTTTTGCCAAGGCGTGTCATAAGAACTTGCTGATGATTAAGGGGAATGTATAATTACATAGATGCCAAGGTACAAAATAAACAGAAGCATATCCGAGCTTGCTCATGAGTGGGTGCATTCAGGGTTAGCAAAGAGAATCAAAAAGTTGCTAGTGGAGAAATTCTGCCCTTAAGCCTAACTCACACAAATGACTGGGGTCAAGAACTCAGGTCTTTGTAATTACCATTCTGTCTTACCCTAGCTTCATCCTTGCTTTTTTGGTCAAAGAATGATGGGAGTAAGGAGCTAGGATATTGCTTTCTCATTTTGCTTTAATTACATTTAAAGCCTAACCCCGGGAATACTACCAAAACATATAGATAAGAAGGAAGTTGGTTCATAGAAACATTTGTTTGAATAGTTACTCAGCTTACCCCTGGCTATTATTCTTTTGTGTTGAATGGGACAAAGAATAGCCACTAAATACTTGATGTGGTTTTTTTTTTTTTTCTTGGTAATTTTGCATTTTTGAATGAGTAATTTTCCTCAAATTAGAATGCATGAGAAAAACCTGGTTAATCAGTGGTTCCTGGTCATTGGGCTCTTGTTAATCAGAAGTTTTACTGTATAATCATAACGTATTTTGGATGTTCTCATTTATGTTATTTCTTCAACTCTTTGTCTGTGTAGGCATTCTGATTACTTGATTACATCTGCCTGGCATAGTGGTATTTAAAACCGCATTTATAATAAAAATCTCTCCATTTTAGCAAGTAAAATGAGAATACAGAAAGACAATTGATAGTTGAGACATGATTGTTTGCTCTTGACTTTTCTTGGTGTTTAGTGGGTTTTAGGTTTGGGGATAAAGAGAATTGAATATGATTACTGCTCTGGTCCAAAATGACTGGTTTATACAGCTGGAGAGAGTATGTGGAGACGTAGGCCTGCCACTGCTTCTTCAGAGAAGACCCACTATTCCTGGGTTTCACATATTTTTTTCTAGAAAAATAAGATTCTTCCATTAAAACTACCTAAAAATGGGCCTCTCTGGTGGCACAAGGGGTTAAAGTCTCAGCATTATGAGGCTATCAGCAACCACTGCAGCACAAGTTTGATTCTTGGCCAGGAAGCTGACCCACTTGGCATAGCAGACCTCTCTTGGCCCACCCGCTGCTCCCCTCAGCAGTGTATTTCAGTAGATTTGCCTGTTCTGCTCCCCACTCTGTCTCTGGTGAATCTTCTCACTCCCCTGCACCTCTGGCTTATACCCCAGTTCTTGTATGCATAAACAAATAAATCTTTTTTTTTTTTAAGATTTTATTTTTATTTATTAATACAAGCACTGGGTACAGTCAGAAGCTTGGGAGGGCGAGAGAATCCACCAGAGCCAGAGTGGGGAGCAGAGCAGAGCAGGCAGACCGACAAAGCACACTGTTGAGGGGAGGAGCGGGCGGCAGGAGAGGTCCGCGCTCCATGCGGGACCCTCGCCCGGCGGCCTGGATCGAACCGGCTGCGGACAGCCTCGCAATCCAGCGCCCAACCGCCGCGCTACCAGGGAGGCCCACAAATAAATCTTTTTTTAAATACCTACCTAAAAACATTTGATGGAGAGGTACTTTATGAGCATCTGTTAGGACTGAAGCAGATTCTCATTTAACTTTCTGCCGCTTGCAACACTGGCAATTAATTGTAGGTGTTAGTTTCCTGTAATGTATATTGGGGGTCCTGTACTGCTAGCTATCTTATTATCCTGGGGTTCTCTCTCTCTCTTTTTTAAATTATAAGCCTTTATTTACTTATTTTTTAAAGATTTATTTATGTATGCAAAAACCAGGGTCCAGGCCAGATGTGCGGGAGGGTGAGAGGATTCACAGAGTGGGAAACAGAACAGGCAGACTGACCAAAATACATTGCTGAGGGGAGCAGCAGGCGAGGCAGGAGAGGTCTGCTCACTATGTGGGCATCTCCAGGGCTGGTGGGGCTCGAACTGGCACTGCAGAGGCTGCGAACAGCTTCACAGCGGAGCACTCAACTGCCTGTGCCACCAGGGAGGGAGGCCCTGGGGTTCTTTTTTTATCAGAACTTCTGGATAGGGGACAGGAACTAACTAAGACAAAAAGTAATAACTAAGCTGGATTACCCAGCTTAGTGTTTTACGTTATTATTTTATTCAGTCTAGCAGTCAAACTTGCAAGGTGGTTGTTATCCCCCTTGTCACACCAAGAAGAGGAGACTTTATAAACTTAGAGCCTAAAAATTCCCCATTCTGCTTTGCTTCCGGGCGTGAGGGGAAGTACATGTTGGGAAGGCTTTGACTTTTCTGTATGTTTTTTCTGAATGATTTCATATTTCATCTGCAACTTTGAATTCCTTCCACATCTGATGTAAAGGACAATTCTTCACCTAAGCCTGGACTTGTCCTGTAGCCCCGAGGCCCCGGGGAACTGCATCCTGAACTGGACACCCACCTGTCTCCCTCAGCCTGTGCAGAGCTGGTCTTCTTTATGTATCCTGGCTCTTACTTTTCCTCCTGCTCTGGGCAGGTTTAATCCTCTTGGGCTGCAGTGACCAAGAGAGCCCCCTGGGCTGCGCACTGCAGTGGCTGCTCGGTTGATATTCTCACCGAACGAGCTCTTCTGTCCTGAGTCCTTTCAGGCAGCAGTGCCAGAGGCTAGGAAGCAAGTTGCACAGGTGATGTGCAAGTCTGCCATTTATGCTGTGTCCCACCCTCACCAAAGGTCATGGCCAGTTGACAGGTACACACCTTACTTGGATGACACCCAGCACGCAAAGCTGCTTTCTCCTTCTTAATATTTAACCTCACATCTTTACCTAATCACCTCAGCCTCTACCTCAGCAAACCCTCCTTGGCTTCTCCAGACCAAGCTTCATGGCGACACACACTACCCTGCCTTTGTCCCATCCCTAAATGCTGTTCACCTCATTTGCTTTTGGCTTATTACAATAGCATCAACTGAGAGGGTCTGGGGAACCGAGTGTCATTTGTGTGGTGCAGGTTTTATTGAACTGTTACTCTGCGCAGCAAAGCCCTGCTGTGTTCCCAAGAGGACGGTTAGATGGAGCAGTTCTCGTTACTTTGCTATAGCTCTCTGATTTGACTTTGCCTCCTGCTTCTGTGTCCACATGTGCCACATGCATAGCTGGGTACATCAGTACCCATGAGCCATATATAGTGTGCTATATATTTTAATCTGCTTGCTTTTAAGTAGTTTTTAGTATATAAGTCATTGGTTAATCTACACGTGGGCTTTTCTCTCTATAAAGCTGTGACTGCCTATCAAATAGTGTGATTGGGCCTCCCTGGTGGCACAGGGGTTAAAGACAGCACTATCAAGCTATTGCCAGTCACTGCAGCATTAGTTGGATCCCCAGCCGGCCAGGGAGCTACCCACGTGGTGCAGCAGACCTCTTCTGTCTCGCCCGCTGCTCCCCTCAGCAGTGTGTTTCAGTAGATCTGCCTGTTCTGCTCCCCACTCTGTCCCTGGTGAATCCTCTCACCTCTGCACCTCTGGCCTGTACCCCAGTTCTTGTATGCATAAATAAACAAATGTTTAAAAAAACAACAAGGACTCCCTGGTGGCGCAGGGGGTTAAGATGCAACCTATGAAGCAATACGCAGCCACTGCAGCATGAGTTCACTCCCTGGCCAGGGAGCTACCCACATGGCCCAGCAGACCTCTCCTGACTCGCCTGCTGCTTCCCTCAGCAGTGTATCTCAGTCAATCCACGTGTTCTGCTCCCCACTCTGTCTCTGGTGAATCCTCTCACCCCCCACCCCCACACCTCTGGTCTGTACCCCAGTTCTTGTATGCATAAATAAATAAATCTTTAAAAAAAAAAAAGTGATCTTTTCACCCAAACTCCCACTTGTGTTTCTCCACAGGCAGCAGAGAACGTCGTTTTCATTGGCCCTGACACACATGCTATTCAGGCCATGGGGGACAAGATTGAAAGCAAATTATTAGCTAAGAAAGCAAAGGTTAACACAATCCCTGGCTTTGATGGCGTAGTAAAGGTAAGAAATGACGTGTTCTAATCCTTATGGGACGTGTCCTCATGTCCAACATTTTTTCTGAGGTGTAAGTTGAAATACATTTATTGCTTTAAAAAATATACATGTGTGTGGTAAAAAAAAGTCATTTGCCCTTTGTTGTTTTAAATGGTGTAAGTTGAAAAGAGCAAGAAGCCACTTAAGCCTTGCATTTAACGAGTTAGCATTGACTCAGATGCTCACAGGGAGGGTTGGTGAATTAGCAACTGCGCCATTTGCTCTCTGGATTTCATGAAATGATGCTGCATATTTAGTGTATTTAGTAGTTCTCTTTAGTGTTTTTGCATTGAGCTTCTGTCCCTGTGGGTACAATGTAATTATGTAATCATGTTTCCTATGGAAAGTGGTGTAAAACTATAAAACTATAGAACCCAAACATCAACTTCTCACCTGCTAGTGCCTTCTGCAGCGGCAGGTTTCTAAGGAAGAAATGCAGAAATGTGAGTGTGTGCGTCCCAACTCCCCGGAGAAAAGTGATTTCATCTTTTCTCATTAGAAGAGAGTCGCTTTGTAGACTTGAACCCGGTGGCTTGAGTTAGTTTGCAAGAAGCCCCTACTGTGAGGGGCCATTTCATGCATTGCAGGAGAGTTAGCAAGCTTGGCCCTTGGCTACGAGTCTCAGCTCTTGTCTGTATGTGCCTTAACCTGTCGTCATCCTTCCCTCTCCTCTCGCCTTCTGTCTGGTTACAAGGAAGAGGTGATGGGGCCTCCCTGGTGGTGCAGGGGGTTAAGCATCAGTGCTACCAAACAATCTGCAGCTATTGCAGCATAAGTTCGATCCCTGCCAGGGAGCTACCCCTACGGTGCAGGAGACCTCTCCTGTCATGCCTGCTGCTCCCCTCAGCAGTGTATTGCAGCAGTCTACCTGTTCTGCTCCCCACTATGTCTCTGGTAAACCTTCTCACCCCCCCACACCTCTGGCCTGCACCCCAGTTCTTGTATGAATGGATGAATAAATCTTAAAAACAAAACAAAGCAAAACAAAAAACCCAAGTAAGAGGTGATCCCTGAAGTCCACTTCTTCCTGTACCCATTGCAGACTTGACAGGCTCCAGTCTTCATTCATTTTCTCTCCAACAGAATTGGCAAATCATGGCTCCAGGCATACCTGTGTTTGTAATGTTTTAGTGGAACACAGCCATACCCGTTTCCTTACAGATTATCTATGGCTGATTTTCCATGATAGAGGCAAAGTTGAGTAATTATGAAAGAATGGCTATCCATTTATACCTTTAAACAACTGGCCTTATGTTCCTCCCGCCCATCTATCCTGTGCACTGTGTGATCCAGCTGTAAGGGCGTTTCTCAGATTCTTGAAATGTCTGGACTTAACTCTCTCATGGGTATTGATTCTCCTTCTGCTTCATTCCTGATCATCTCTTCATTGTTTAGACAATGGCTTCAACGTACGTTCCTCATAGAGGCAGTCTGTCTAGATTAGATTAGGCCCCCTGCTTTTTTTCCCCTGAGTACTTTGCACTTCACCCACCCCATTTTAAATCACTTATCGGTTCAGTAAATATTTACCAAGTGTATACTATTTCTCTGATATTGTTTGAAGGGCTGTGCATGTAGTAGTAAATAAAACAGAACAAAAATGAAAAATAAAGTCTACCCTCAAGGAGCTTACATTTTAGTAGAAGGAGACAGCCATTAAAGAAATAATAAAATGTGTAGTACATGTTATAATGAAACAGGGAATGGGGAAATGAAATGCCCCAGGGTAGGAATAAACCATTCACAACTTTAACTAGGTTTTGAAAACCATCTAAAAAGGTGTCAGGGCAAGTGCTGTGGATATCAGGGAGAAGAACAAAGCATGCTGGGCAAGAAGAATGCAAGGGCGAGCTGTTGAGGTTGAAATGCACCTGGTATTGAATAAACAAGGGGTCATGGACTGGCAAGGTCACAGGGGAGAGGGGTCAGTTGAGGCAATAGAGATGAGGTGTGTAGTAGGGAACACAGATTTGGGGGAGCCCTTTGACCTACTTCCAGCCCTGGATTAAGTGCCTGGCTGGTAGGAGTTGGGTTCTGTTTATTATTGCAGCACGTCACTGACTACTGGTGGGCTGAGCACTGTTCTGGGAGAGCAGTTTTACACACTTAACCATTTTATACATGTTGTAGGTCTTTTATCACAATTCATATGACACATGTAGAGTTAGAGAAGAACAGATGATAGAAATAGGTCCACATATGCTTTAAATACTAGATTTGGCTCATAAGGACTGAAATGTCGGTAATATATCAAAGAAATTTGAGGAAAATGTGGAGAAATTTGATAAGCATGTAGAGTATTTCACCAGAGAACTTGAGTTTATAAAACAATTAAATAGAAATTCTGTACCTGCAAATATATGAAAATGGGGGTCTTGTGGAGGTTTGATGGTAACCTAAGCCAAATGTAAGATCTGTGTTATGCGTTTTATGGCTCATTTCTTTTTATGGCTGAGTAATGCTCTGTTGTATGAATTTATCAATATTAAATCTATTCATCAGTTGATAGACTTTTATTCCCCCATTTTCAAGGTTATGAATAGTATGGATGAACCTTGTATATAAGTCTTTGTTGGAATCCTTCTTAAGTTCTTCTGGGCATATTCTCAGGAGTGGAATTGCTAGGTCAAATGGTAATTCATTGTTCTACTCTGTGAGGACCTGCCAGACATACAAACCTTTGTGTAATCCCCTCTTCAGTGTGGGTAGAACCTGGGATCAGTTTTGCTGACTAATAGTGTATGGCAAAGGGTGATGGCTTGCCATTTCCTTAATTAGGTTAGATTATCTCCACCCATTAAAGGGGATGGGGTGTTCCATTACAGTATCTGGCAGTGTTAATTACTATCCCCCCTGTTATTCTGTCTTGTCAAATTATGTTGTTTGATCAGACTGGAACATAGGATTCTAGTTGCTGAAATAAGCATGAAGTAAGGAACCATTTTGAGGATCCCATGTGATAGTGAACCGCAGGCTGCTTTAAGCCATCTGAGATCTGAGAGCCAGCCAAAAAGTAGAGCCCTGAGACACACAGCCACAAAGAAGTCAGTTTTACCCACCCACCCCGCCCCCAGTGAGGTTGGCCCCAGATTTGTCCTTCCTTGACCTCCAAGTAAAAAAACGCCTTCTGGTCATGCCAGAAAGACCCTGGGCAGAATACGACAGACCTTTTTTGTCTAACAGTGAGTGTTCATCCGTGGTTCTTTCCCTTCTAGTTTGACCGGGTCTTGTAGGTTTGGGAGGTGGGTGGGTCATTACGAAACTCAATCTGTTCAGCTCCAGTACAATTGTAAGTTTCTGTGACAAAGAACCCAGGCGTCTTCAGATCCTCAGTTGGGGCTTGGTCTAGTGAAGAGGGGACTGCTGGGCTGGAGCAGCATCATCCTGCCCTGGTGAATAGCCGTGTTCTCTGGAGTTAAGAAAGAGGCCCTCAGGAGCACGTTTGATCTGGAAATTCTGCTTGTACCGCGTGACCGTCTTGTGAAGCGAGTCAGTTAGTGTCTCGTAGGAAAAGGACTGTTTCTTGACTGATAGTCCATTGTGACCACAGGGACATCCAAGTGCAAGGAACGTGTTGGAGATACCCCTTCTCCGGAGGTTGGTTGACTCAGAGAGAGCTCTGCCACAGCAGCAGCATTTATGGCTAATAGCGTCCCACCTGTATCAATAATGAGCAGTTTTTCCTTTTGAGTTGATGGGCATTGATTTACTATTGTAACATTGCCCATTCTATTTTCCATTTTCTTGGCTAGCGTGGAACAATTGTTTTTCCATTGTCATTTCTGTTTATAATATCTGCAGGTGTCTTTCTCCAAAGACTGGTATTTAATTTTTGAAAGGGAACATTCCCTTTCAGCTCTGGGACCATCAATTTGAGTCTTATTCTGCTTTTGTTTTCAGGCTCTCTCAAAACAGTGTGTATGGAGGTGAGGGTTCGACAGTGGGGCTCTTCCCCAGTCAGTTTTTGCTTGTTTATAAAATTTTTTATTTCTGACTTAAAGCTGCTCACAAAAAGTGAGGTGAGAGCTGGGGTTCTCAGTGCTTTAGGGTGCACTCCCAAATGCTGGGTGAAGCCATTGGAGAGCCCATCCAGGAGCGTGCCTGCGGACAGCCCCGTTTCTGTGGCACAGTGTGTGAGACCCACCTGCTCTCATACACCTGGCATTGCTGGGAGCCTCCCAGAGAGCTTGTCCACATGCGTGGTTTTCTAACCTTCTCTTGTTTCTTTTTTTTTTTAATTTTTTTTTTTTTTTTTTTTTTTATAGAGGCATGCTTTATTTATTTGTTTGCTGGTTTCTTTGTTTGTTTTGTTTATACATGCACTGGGTACAGTCAGAAGCACGGGAGGGCGAGAGAATTCACCAGAGCCAGAGCGGGGAGCAGAGCAGGCAGAAGGACCGAAGTACACTGCTGAGGGGAGCAGCGGGCGGCAGGAGAGGTCTGCGCGCCATGTGGGACCCTCCTCCGGTGGCCGGGGAGCAGCCGGGGATCGAACCGGCGCCGCAGAGGCCGCGCGCAGCTTCGCAACCCAGCGCTCAACCGCTACGCCACCGGGGAGGCCCTTAATTTTTTTTTTTTTTTTTTAAAAGATTTATTTATTTATTTATTTATACAAGCACTGGGTACAGTCAGAAGTGCAGGAGGGTGAGAGAATTCACCAGAGCCAGAGCGGGGAGCAGAGCAGGCAGAAGGACCGAAGTACACTGCTGAGGGGAGCAGCGGGCCGGCAGGAGAGGTCTGCGCGCCATGTGGGACCCTCCTCTGGTGGCTGGGGAGCAGCCGGGGATCGAACCAGCACTGCAGAGGCTGCGGGCAGCTTCGCAACCCAGCACTCAACCGCTGCGCCACCGGGGAGGCCCTCTCTTGTTTCTTACGTGATTAGGGGTCTCCAGTCACGCTGAGGGTCTGCCATCCTTCCCCCCAATATTTTCACGCTGAGGTTCTTACTAGCAATATGGACCAGTTTC